TGTGTGTGTGCGTGTTATGTGGGGGGTAGTATGATTTTTACCATGCACAAAAAAAAAATATTATGCGGAAAAAAATAATGCAGCTGTGTTGGTTTAGAAAGAATACATTCGATATTGCGTGCATATAAAAAAGACCAGTAGGTATAGCTTGGCACAATGGGTCCATCCAAAAAACGCATATTATATCCGTGTAGAACTCGAATATAAAAAAATTCCTGCGTGTAATCAAGACAGCGTTTTTCACGATTATAATAGCAAGATAGCACGGGTGCATGCTTATAAACTATCATGATGTACATTGTAAGAAAAAAATCAAAACAAAATGCGTAATCGTGACAATAAATTATTAGGTAGGTATATGATTGTTACAATCGAGTGTAGGTACGTGATGTGAAAAAAAAAAATAATTAACAATAATTTTTACTAAATGGTATTTACGCGATATGATAATATGCGTCATTTATTCAAAATATTGTTACGTTTCATAGTTTCAATATAATAAATAGGTACCTACCTAGGTAGGTAGGTATCTCTATGTAATAATATTATTACTGAAATAATTTTCCATCATTTAATTAGATAAAAAAAAAAATAGTAAGGTTGTTTTTTATTTATCATACGCATGCGCGTTATATCTTATGAAATACGTCATACTGTGCTGCCAGTCTAATTATTATTTCTGTCTATGTTCCTATTACGCGTTCATTGTTTTACACTCATTAGCTAATAAGTGAATTTAAGTAAAACGAAAATAACGTGTTTGCAATTCTCGATCAATATGTATTAGCGAGGAATTATATGAATGTGATATGTGTGATACCTATGTACACGTTGTGCACAAGGATTACGCAATAAAACCCGTGTTGTCAAAACAACGCCCAGGAAAAATAGCGGTCTAACCATTCGAATAATCATAATAATAGTGCTTATAATGTTGTTATTATTATTATTCATAATGAAGCTCATGCGTATAAGTTGATCAGCGAAGCAATTAAGAAAGCGCCGTGCCGTCGTCACACAAACAATCGGTACTTATTGCGAAAACCCGTACGCTTTGTCCCACGGTTAGGACAACAACTAAGAATAAAAAAAACATATTAGGAATACCAAAATTACTTTAACTTTCGATTTTATAGTGTTTTTTTTCTCATTTCAAAATAACTGTACCAAACCCAATAGTGGCTGGTATGTGCCTCTGTATTTATATACTTTGCTATACTTCTGTTGCTGATCGCAAATCTTTCCTTTACATTTTTTTTATTAGTACTTACTACTTAGTTCATAATAAATAATAAGATTATTTAACGGTTTTTTATTATTTTTATTAAAAGGTATCGTGCAAATTATGATTACATAATATTATATTCAATAATTATGTTTTCTTAATGTATTTTCAATTTGCTTTTATTTAAAACTTCAAACATTATATGAAGCGTTAGACTGGTATTTTAATAGAATTAAACTCAGAAAAGCTACGGTCAAAGAGAAAAAAAACACATGACATTCCCTCTTCTACTCCTAGGTTCTCACAATATGTACTCGTAAGTAAATTGGGGGAGGACACGAAGAATATATATATATATATATATTCAATCATCGGACGGGTTTTTTAACATACCCCTTTTTCCAATTCACTGGCCTTTGTATCCACGCTATCTGCCCTTTGCCATGTCTCTTCTTATCTTGTATTATTGTTCCTCACTGACCTTTTGAAATTCCTATTTTCCATCTTTACTCCCTCGGCTGCTTTAGATTATTGAGGGAACACTGAACACACAAGCACGAATTCATCGTTTTCGCTCTCTGCCTGACGTTTGGCCGCCGAATTATTTCTATTTACATTTCAATCGGATTTAGTTCAAATTATGTGACTGGTTTTCTTAAACATATATATATATATATATGTAGTTGACCTCAGCCCTTTGAAAAAACGTCAAAGGCTGTGTACGGAATTCTGAGTGATTTTTTTTATCATTCGAATCGAACAAAACAAAAGAAATAAATTCACTTCCTATTATTTATTTACCCTGTACTCGCCAACAGCTGTTAAGGCCAAGGTGGTTGTTTTTTATTCCTTTTTTTAGCTAGAAAATAAACTCCTACTTGGGTAAATGGGTGCGAAATTGAAAGGCACTTAAAGTAAAACTCTAAAGAAACGTGCGAAAGGGTCCGGCCGAAATTCGATTACGGTGGACAATATAAAAAAAACCTATAAGTCTGTGTATAGAACGCATTTTAGGGTTGGTCAATGGCATTTAAATTACGTTTTTAAGCGAAAGATTGAATTATTTTCGTCTTAACGTTGAAAAGTTCACTTAACACGAATTTATTGACTCCATCTGGGAACCTAATTTCGTTCATATAATACATAGGTACATACTAACTTTCGCCTAACAAAACATAGAGGTAACAGAAATGATTTGAATAAACTTATCAACGACTTTATTTTTTGAATCACCATTTTGTTTTATTTTTCATTGAACTACATAAACCAATCAGGTAACGAATTACCATAGATATTCAACCCTTAAAATCACCCCTTTTTGCATAACGGTTTTTATAGGCTGGTTTCGCAAAGGGATACCATTGTGGCATTGTGTACTTTTAAAAAATCCGTTACGAGAAATATGTTGTTGAATTAATGAACCTCCCTTTAATTTTCACTTCCTCCTTAGCATTCTAACACCCCGGGATCTTAAGTTTATAATACATAATTTTTTTTTTACAAATACATTTTTCGATGACAAAAAAGGGTGTGCATTTCGACACAAGCACGTGACGCAGGTGGTAAAACCAACCGTTTTTTACCCTTTTTAACGCAGGTATATGAAAATGAATAAAAGAGCTGAATAAATAGCTCGAGCCAATAGGGTGCTTTTTTCACCCCTTATGAATAGAAAAACAACTACTGCGCATTAAATTCAGCATGTTAAAAAGAGAGTAACGTTACCAACGTACCATAGTATAAACAGTTCGCTATTCATTGATTGAAAATACTGCAAAAGGGTTTTACTGCTGGCACAAGCTATATGTCGGCATGCGTTACTTACACTCAAACCCTTCTATTAAATATACAGGTAATAACAAAAGGGAAATTTGTCACGTGACACGGGCATAATAAAATATAAAAGCTAAACGCGACTCGCGAGCTACCATTTTGTTATTCGACATCCTTTTTAATAATAATTTATTTATGCACATAAATAATCACAAAATAAATTTTGTTCCGAGTAGGTACCTACCTATTATGATGAAAACCTAACAACAATTATTATTCAAGTAAAAATAAAATTACATTTTATTTGCAAAAATAAAAACGCTGAATTATTTATGACTATAGTTGAATTTTACAAATTAGTTATGCACACTTAAACACACCTGCTATATAGAAAAGAACGGTCTAAGTAATCGAGAGCTAGAATAAAAAGAAAAGAAAACAATGAAAATATCTTGGATTGCATGGGGTATACAAGTAGTGGCCTTGTAAATGTAGACATTGCAAGGATATCGGTAGTATAATTTTTTTTTATATATATTAATGGACTATTGCATTCAACAGCAGGTGTTACGAATCTCTGATTTATATGTGCAGACATGCGAAAGCGCATAAAAAACAAACGAGTATGCGAGGGTGGCACATCTTGTAATACGATGAAAACATGCCATCATAAACTCGTGCTTGTGTATCATTCACCCCTTTTTTATATTCGGTCATTTTTTTCGTTTTAGGCCTCTAGTTGTTCAGATTTTCTCCACCGTTTTCAGCCCCTCGACATAACGATGTGTAGTAGTTAAATGGACTGAGCGATAAAACCCAAGTTCAACAAGTATTATTATTCTGTTTGAAAACAATTTTTCGCATATCTGAATAATTATTAGTAAAAAAGAAAATATTATATTTATATTTATTGATAATATCAGCGATTTTTTTGTAAATACCTACTATTATATCCATAACAGGTATTCAAATATTTGTAGTGACTAAATTCGTTTGACACCATTACAATGTTTTTAAGTAGTTTTTTCGTTAAATAAGTAAGTAGGTACATACTATATAAACAAGCTTGTGGACATCATAAATAAGCTGTATTTGGCCAAGGGCGAGTGATCATGTTCAAAAGGCGTGAAATGAGTAACGTTGGGGGTCGATTTATTTTACTTTTTAGTGGTGAAGAATGATTGCTAAAAACGATTTTGGTAAAAACCGGAAGATAACCATAAAAGCTATTTGGTATTTGGTAAGTAAAATAGGTAGGTGCCGACATCAAAGGGAGTATCATCTCGAAACGCTACCCATATAAATTCAATTGAAAAATGTTTATTCAAAAATAATCAGCAGGGTGCCAAGAATTTCGAACGTGTAAAGCCGTATTGAATTCAAGGATTGCATGCAGATTTACAGGGTTTCTCAAATTGTGAAATTATTATTGCTACAATTGTATTTTGTTTTTAAATTTTAAGTTAAATATATGGTCTGACATTTTTATTTGTCTAGTTCTCGTATTCGTATAGTATAAAAATAGGTTAAAAAAAGTAATAATTTTAATAACAATCAGGTATAAATCATTATGAATACCGAGTATTCATAATATTATACATCTTTCTCCTTGAATAAAACATAAGGTGTTTTTGAAATATGAATCACTGGCGTGTGGTACGTGTGTCAAACACCCAAACTGTGTTTCACGTCAAATGTTTTGTGATAGTCTTTACTTTTTATACAATATTGTTCAGCAGGAATTTGAGATACATTGAACCCATCGGGAAGGTAGAGGAACTACATTTTAGGCAGGTAATAAAAATCTGTTACGCTGTACATACAAAAAAAACTAAAATTTTAACGTGGGTGGGGATAAAATAACGTCGAAATTAGGTTCGAATATATATATTTGAATAGTGTAGTACGTTAAGTGTTGATGAATCGTTCGTTCCGTAAATATCGCTCCAGTAATTCACGTGTTTTAATGTTTATGGCTGTGCTATTAATTTAAATAGAAACGATGGAACCATTTATTGAAATCACTAAATATTTTTCTTATCCGAGTAAGTCTTTATACTTTATTATGACTAGTATAACCAAAATAGTAAATATTATTCAATAAAATGCTTACATTTTAGTATTTTGCGTATAAGAATAACAAACAAAAATTTAAAATTTAACTATCTATTGTCAAATAATAATAATGTAAACATAATAACGTTATTGACTCATACAATCGTGTGTACCGTTCAATCAATGGCAAGTATCCAATTACACGTTGTTTAGCATAATATTTTTGTTAGGTTTGATAACTTTGTGTATTTCAAAATTTTTAAATCGCTTATAATTTAAAACTACGATAGTTAGTTCGCTTTCTATGTTGCTTTAAAATAAAATATTTAACTTGGAGAAAGTTTTATTCTTAGGAATATAAATTATTCTTTCCTAATACGTTTTATTTTCTTCTATATTACGTGACCAGTCATAGACACGAAGTCGATACTTATTGCTTGTATACGATTATGATAACTCTACATTGTTTGTATCGTATTATATTATGTTGTTTTATTTTGTATTTTTGATTGTTGAATTTAATAAGACGTAATATGAACTTGTCCGTGGCTCTCAGAGTTTCTAATTTCCATCTAGAAAAATTATATCATTTTACTCATATATATAAAAGGTGGTACTTACAATTCTGTTACAAAAAGAGTAATATTATCAACGTTTAATATAATGTACTCGGTTTCAAGATGACTATTATGCACATGTTGGTTCTCAGTTTAGGGAATGAAGAACTTTCAACTAATGTCTGAGGTAGGGGAGGAGAGATATTTATTATTAACGGCCTTTAGAGTTTGTCGTTTGGGGTGTTTGGAAGGGGCTGATAACTTATATGCGTGTAGTAGTGGACACCATAATGAAATAGTTAATGGGAAATAATTGAAAAGGGAGTTTTGAAGAGGGAGAAGACTGAGAAGAGCTATAGTTTTTGTCAACTTACTGAAAAAAAAAACTGAAGTATAAAACATACCTACCTATAGTAAGTTATACTACACCTACTAGTTATTTTTTCCCACGAAACATTTTACTACCTAGGTACCTATAATTAATTTTATTTGAACGTGTTTCTGTTTTTACGTAATATAATAGTTATACATATTTTTATAGTTCGTATACTTAGTACTCGAAAAATATTTTTTTTTTTATATATATAAGAATATACATATGGTCACGTTCTTTTTTCTCCGTAGAAATCATAATAATACAAAAATATCCGCAGGTTAATGTGTATAAGCGTTGGGTACGGTCTTTTGTCAGGTACCGGGGTCTGTTCAAACTATTTCCAAAGAAATCGCTTTCTCTACCTGGGATACAGACCAAGTGGTCAGCCCAGGATGGCAGGATTAGCATATAATGTATAGATAGTACGCAGTGCACATGTGTCGAAGATTATAATGTTTACAATAATAAAATATACATTTTAAATGTCCGTATCGACCCTGAATCGGCATTTTCAAAACTGCTGGTGGTATTTTGTATGATGTATATTTTCACAATGAATGGGTAGCCTGGTGTTATTGGAAATATATAATGCAAAAATATACACACACGCACATACCCGCACCCACACACACACACACACATACACACAACATAATACATCCTTCCAATTTTAATACCCTACTAAATATTATAAGCCACACGCGCGTGGAATATGTATACCGAATATGTCGTGATAATCCGTGTGTTTGAAATATTTTGTTTAATTTACATACTGTTATACCACAGCCTAGTTATGGAAGTAGTGACCAGAATAAATAAGATAGGTATTCCGACGTTTTTGGCCAGCAGTGTGGTGAAGGAAGAGGGTATTATTTTAGTCCTTCGTTTTTAACGTATATACTAGCTATTTTACTTATTTGTTTAGGGTGAACCTTTTGAACCATGCTTAAATTATTAAAATAGTATTCGCCAATACTAAATTTTATATTCTTTTTCGATGGAAATTCAAATTATGTTCTTTGTATTTTGGCCTGTTTACTGCTGATGTCTATTTATTTATTCATTTTTGTTTTTTCATAAAAAAAAAAAAAACTCCCGATTCAAATTATTCTCCCTTGGTGAATGATTCAGACTACAGCTCACTCGTATATGCAAGATTTGCTGACCCCTATATTACAGCCCGCCCCCGAGCCAACATCTGCGATGTATTGGGGAATATAATGAATATACGTGCGGCAAACATTCACAGAGCTGTATTACTATAATGTATTCCATGTACATATATCCAGTTTCGAGACAAAAACTACCCTCGTTTTTGGGGATTTTTCGCCTATATGTATATGGATTACGCATGCACGGTCGCTCTTATTTGCGAGGGTATTAGAATATGTCACACACAAACAACGATCAATATCTAAATGAGTCATTCTGCGAGTTAGTGAAATCAAAAGGTCCTTTTATAATATATTATGAGAAAAATAATTGTTGTCCGCTGTAGACAAACGCACAAACGACTAACCTAACATTATTACTTGTATCTAACTAATATTTTGTCTATTATCAGTATAGAACCTACAGAGCTATTTTACACCTTCAGTATTCTGCAATAATATGTGGTCGATGATTAATTACAACATCAGTTTTATGAATAACACCAAAAAAATCTAAATTTCAATAACATACCTAATTTATGTTTGTTAAATATTGCAATATGACAATATTTTACATTTTTTTTTTTTTTTGTTGGTCAGTATTTTAATTATTATGACCTATAAAGTATGCTTAGGTGTATTATTCTGGTATTTTGTATAATTTTTAGATTCTGTATCATATTATGTTGATGCCTTCGAATAAAAATAATAAAACATTTGTTAATTTTACAAAAGTAGGTATCCACTAAATCCAAAAATGTTTCTTGTTAATAATAACTAAATTGATTTTATTTTTATATTTTAAAAAGTGCGTTCTTTTAAAAATAATTTTTAACTTGATGTCAAGTTTCCGTCAATAAGTATCTGTCAATAATTGGTTAAAGTGTGTAATAGACGTGCTCTTGAATTTTTTATTGGATTAAAGTTGCGTATACGATTCGTCAAATTTAAAAACAGACATGATAGATAAGCCCACCCCTTTATGAAACGTATATACATCCTGATCGCAAGGAAATTATTAATTCATATGGCATTGGTATAAAATTCAAAAGTGGAATTTCAGAGGTAAATTGACCAACTAACGACTGATCATTATTTATATTTAACTGACTTATTGGACTCGTTCGACAGGCGCTTTGGTGTATAAATTTAAATTTCCCATCACCTTTCGTGTTTGTTTCCCCTCAACTAAGGGGTTCCCTTTACACAAAAAAAAAAATATAGTCCACCGAGGTTAAACGTAATAAATGGCCATAGGGTGTTTGGGTTGTCTTTTTTGGCGCGTTACGTTCGTATAAATAAGACACATCACTTCTGACTAAATCGCACTTTCGAACACGAAATGTCACCCTTGGGAATACATACTACTTATGGCCTTTATCTTTTTTCACTCGTCTTGTATAATAGTTCAATGTGTTTTGCGAATCCCTAAGTCTTTCTTATGAAACTCGTGAATTTTCATACGTTCGTTGTGGTCATTTTTAGGTATATATAGGTATACTGGCGTACTGCTGTTAGATTTTTCACGTTTTATTTTCAACGAGTTTCCATTTGTATTAATATTGTGAAAACGTGATCCGAGTTATTGTAAGATATGAAAAAATATATAGATAAAAGTTTTTTTTTTGCTATACATTTTATTTCATATAGGTTTGGTATTTTAAGTCCGTTGGGAAATTAACTGCAGAGTTTAGTTTTAGAAATTAAACGATCTTATATAATATTAACTTTGATCATTAACAAACTTGAAATTACTCATGGGAAAATATATCTCGAATTTTTACTTAAGAATATTATCCAAAAAAAAAAAAATAATAATTGATTATATAATTGGAAATTGTTAGAAATAATAATAATAATAATAATAAAAATAGCTACTGATATCACGTGCTGTATTTTGTCAATAGCTTACCCTTCGCTTATAACCGCTTTGGTCACGTCTTTTAACAATAGGAAATGTGTGTATAAATCAGGTCCTTGTATAATATCTCGTGCCGACTCTATTCAAAAAATCTCGACCGATTCCCTTTAGGCAGTGTAAGCGAGAGGAACAGAAACACAACACAACAGCCACATAGCACGAGCCCACAACCCTTTGAAACAGACCCCTCTTTATACCGTGAAATAGAATAGTGTAATAATAATAATTTCTTTTTTTCTTACAGGTATCGATGCCCAGAGTATTAAAAGTGAAAAGTCTCAATCACCAACTCCTGAAGAAGGTAAGTTTAGAAATACTTTTATTTAGGTTAGATTAGGTTAGGTAAGTGTAACTCTTTGTATGCATGTTTACCCTATATACGATATTATACTTAATTACCGAGTGTATTTTACATAGGTACTCATAAAATAATGAATTTGATTAATAATAATATCGTATAGGTAGTGAATATACAAGCTTACAGCTCATCGGGCTTAACCTCGATCATAACTTCAGGGGTTAAAATCAAGTAAATATAAAACCATATAAGAGGGTGAAAATGGGGTAAAAAAGATTCACTCCCTATATTTCTGCATATAATATAAAAACTGCATATAGCATAGGCTCAATTTGTGTGCTCGTGAACCCGTAAAACTATATTTTTGGCTTTAAAATCAACCCCTAATCGTTTATGGGAAAATATTCCTCTCATGATTGACATTGAACGAAATTTATTTTTCAAAGTAAAAAGTACAATTTAGCCCGCATATAGGGGTAAAAGTGATTCAGCAAGATTTTCTCTTGTTTGTAAAGATAATAATACTAGTTTTGAAAATGTTCAAAACTTGTCCTAATTTTAACATTAGTGAGCACACTTAGAGTAGGTACCTATATATTTATTTTATTTATATTCAACAAAACTAGACATACGGGCACCAGCATAATTAACAGAGTATTTGACATTACTGATTGGGTATAAAATCTGGTGCAACCCTCAATAACAATGGCCATCAAAATGCAGCCCTAATTTTTATAGGATGTAGATAATACTAATAAAAAAACATTACATCTATAATAATAAATTATATTTAAAATAAAAATAAAATGTTAATACAATGTATAATATAATCCGTTTATTAACGAAACCATAACTTAAAGTTTACAACCGAGAAAAATTGAAACGTCAGTAAAACTAGAAAAACTATGTTGGCTTTATAAATTGGGCGTGTGTTACGCGCATTCAACGGGTTAAAAAAGGGTAGTTGGAAGCCATGTTCAATGCGAACCCTCGTTTGCATAACTAACCAATTGCTAAAGTACACGACTTAGATGCGGGGTTAGTTTTTTGTAATCGTCTTTTGTCCCTACACACAATTCATCATCGGCCCAATCATGGTGCTGTATTATAGAAGCGTAAATTATTCGATAATCATTTTTTTAAACCCTTTTTACAAAAAGGGTGAGGCTCGTGGCAAATTACACCCCTTTCGTGCACGAGCCAAGCAACACAAAAAGTATTGTACATCAAATGATTTATGTATGAATTGAATGTACTAATGTCTAGTATGAAGCTTGTTAAAACTTTGAAATCGGTTATGGAACGATTTTTTTTCCATTATAAAATTGTGATTAATATTATCTTTTGTGTTATAGATGATAATGGTGATGAGGAAAGGGTGGAAGATATCGTTGATCACAGCGAGGACAGTACTGGAAGTGATTTGTTGCTCAACTCAGATGGATCACCAGACAGAATTGGAGCATTGAACTTGGTAAATTTTAATGAAGTATCTGTTATAACTAAAATATTATTAGTATGATCGTAAAAATATTCTCTTAAAATAACCAAAATAAGATGCTAATATTCTCTTAAAAAGTTAAAAATATTCTTCCAATATTCTTTAAAAGCAAGTAAAATTTGCAAAAAGTATAATTTTACCTAAATATATTCTATTAAATTCGAAATATGCGAAATATGCAAAAGAATAATGTACAAAAAAATAAACCGATATAAATAGGTATGTGATAAAAAAAGGTGGGCAAGTGGGTGTCGCTCTGCTGTACAGTAGGTTACAAGTGGGTCACTGTATAATGGATGATATTAAATTTGAATTCAACGATATAATATCATTGTATAAGAAAAACGATTCTGAGCGGAGACAGTATGTCAGTCTAGGTATAAGACATATTATATACATTATACATATCTATGGTACTAAACCAAAATTTGACCTATAATAGGTAGGTACCTATAATAAATTCCAAAATTAATCATATCAAAATATCCATTAAGTACTTATAACGCGTTATACATCAACAAAAACCGTGATACTATCATAGATATATAATAGTACACTTTAGAAGTTTCAAGTACCCACGAATAATATTATTCAATCACAACAAAATAACTAAAATAGTTATTCTAGGTTTTTTAATATGTAATTTCGTCCAAATTTGAAATTAAAATGTCTGTAAAAAATAAGTGTGTTTATATATTTTTTAGATTTTTTGGTTACAGTATGAATTATTTAAGAGAATCTTTGTTTTAAATTTTCAACTCTTAGTTATAAAAACTGAACATTTTATAATTTTTTAATTCCAACGATTGATTATTTTCGAGATTTTGATGAATTTTGTCAAAATTCCAACTTTAAATGCTTATAAAAAAAAATCGTGCCTATGTATTTTTAAAATTTTTCAACTGATATTGTAACAATATATAAGAAAGCTTGTATTCAATTTTCAGACTTTTTGGCCCACCAAATAAAATTTTATTGACAATTATAAAAAAAAAAACTAAAAAAATTGAAAACTGAAAATGTCCCTAAACAGCTCAAAAAGAGTCAAAATATTTTCAAAATTGTATGATGTATAGAAAATGCTAATTTAAACATTCAGTGAAATTTTCATGTATCTACAGTTGTTCGTTTTTGAATTACAACAAAATTAGGAAATCGCTACATGAGAAATCGAGTGAATATCCAATGTTGTAAAAATTTTAATTTCAAACGCTCATAAAAATTTAACTTGACTGTCCGGTAGAGATTTTTTTATTGATAAAGGTAGATAATCTTATAAGGAATCTTGTGTTTCATTTTCAAATCTTAGATTTAAAAAGAAAAATTTTTACGAATTCTTAACTCAAAATAATTTGCTAATTTTCGTGATTTTTCCATATTTTGTAAATTTTTGAACTTTAAATGCTTATAAAAAAAAATTGTGACTAAGGATTTTTAATATTTTTCATCTGCCTTTGAAACAACATATTAGGAGCCTTCTATTAAATTTTCAAGCTTTCGCAACCAACAAATAAAATTTTATTGATATTTCTAGAAAAAAAACTAAAAAAAATGAAAAATGAAAATGTCCCTAAACAGTTCAAAATAAATCAAAATATTTTGAAAATGTTATCGTGTATAGAAAATGCAAATATAAACAACCAGTGAAAATTTCATGTATCTACGGTCATTTGTTTTAAAGTTACACCAAAAACCAAATTCGATTTTTTGGAAAATCGATTTTGCGTAAAAATTCCCGTTTTTCCTTAATTTTTATGTTGTTTTTCCCGGCGCTTGTGAAAACTACTGGAAAATGTTTACTTTTGACCCCCCAAAGTACCAACTAGATTCACTTTCCTATCAGAAAAGGTACTATTGAAGAAAATCGAAGCACTTTTACTGTCCCAAAACGTGATGACAGACACAAAAATAAAAAATATAAAAATATAAATAAAAAAAAACATACATCATTGTAAAACCAATACATTCATCGCTCCGCTCAGAATCTAAAATAAACTTTAACTTAACATTTTATTTATTTTATTAAATTAGATGATAATATATAAGTGACTTATAAAGTTATAAGTATAGCAAATAAAATATTTTCGCTACACAGCTCCCGTTAATGATATTTTATATTAAGCACATGGCTATAATAGGTAGTTGGAAAAATATTTTTAAAATATAATATGATAATACCCACCAGCTATTTCACTTAATTATTCATAAGTTCAGTAACTGCTATACATTACAATATTATGGAATGTTTTTGAAAATATAGGTAGGTAATTGCATATTTGAACATATTTCAATATTTGTGCACTGCACACATTGTATATAACGACATAACGTTAGAACTAGCTCAGAGCTCTTGTTTACTATGTTATTTTGTGGACCCACACCTACAATTTAATCAACTATACTCGAAGTTAAAATGAAATTATGCATTTAATTTGACAATTTATGGAAGGACTCGTTCGTTATTATGATATCATAAAAATATCATCGATCGAAATATTATTCGTACAAACAACATTAATAAATACTTGAGATTTTTTACTTTTCATTATTCAAAACTAACCGCGTGTTTATCAGTTATCACAAATCACAATGATTATTCGTGAAATGCGTTTATAGATTACGCCCACATTGTATAACTATATGGTTATAGGTATGACGGATTGTAGATACGTTTATGTTTCCCAACACTTGAACACACGATATCACAACAGGTCGCTGCGAATATTACGGTGTATAATATACTTATTATATTATTATAATATACATATTATACTCTATAGTCTATAGGTAACACTATATTATGATACGTACGAACCGTACATACACACATATATACATACATACAACATATTAATATAATCATCGGGGCCTAGCGTACGTGCAGTACCTAGCCAACAAAATACTACGTATAATAATTATTATAATATTAAAACGTCACACAAAAACAACAAACCTCGCTACGTACTCGCGGCTTAAAATTATTATATATTAAGTGTACAAAATATAGTCGGCCATAGTGTCGGGTGGTGTTTGTTTTACGCCTTGTCGTTAGGTGTCTTACCGGAGCCCCGGGGGACGGGTGCGATTAGAGGCGCACTGCGAACTGCTCGAGCTACCCGACGATTTAATAAATTCCACGCTCGCCGCCACTAATTACGCGCAGGTATTAACCTATCCGTATAGTTTATAATTTCTCGTACAACAACGCTCGTGCAGAGAAATCACGACGGCCTCGGCGGCGGCGCGCTTGTAAATATATAACGACGCGCACAAAATTCGACGTTTCTACGTGTTGTATAGTATATTATAATAAACAGACACACACACACACACACACACACATACATATCATGTATAATATAATATTATAATATAATATCGTATCTCATAATATTATTAATGTGTGTACCCATACTGGAGCTCATCTGCCGGGGGCGTTAACCCACAGGCTGGATAATTATTCAAGTCGTTGGAAAAAAATTATCCTGTGCGCGTACCTACATTTTTTTCTAGTCGCCGCACAATGTATGTATTAATGCGGACGAGTTATACATTTCAGCTCACTCTATATTTATTTCTAATGTGATATATTAATCATTTTCCGACCTAGCATTTATATGTATACAATATACGCACAAAGCACCCATAATATTATATAAGTATAAAGGTAATGCACCTATACTATATATAATATGTATACGCGAATGGTAATTTTCCACACGCCTAATATATAGGTTAGGGGTGTATATACATATTATCGTATGTATATATATTATATTATTATATATAGTCCGATCTGTTTTCATTGTATAATAATGCGATGTCTTATATCGCTGTAATGTATTCCGAGTGTCCGGTCAACATGCCTTTGATACGCGTTAGACTACTTCCGTCCGAATATTTAAACATTTACAGTCTATTGAAGATTATACATCGATAGGTTTCCTATATATATATTATACATAATATGTGTGGCTCGAGGCTATCTAATATTCGACCCTTCTTTAATATAGTCCGGCACAAAAAGAGTGCGAACTGCGGTCAAAATAAGGGCCCGACGTATGCTATTTAAATAAATAAAAAACTCATAAAAGGCGCAAAAAATCGCCCCTTTCGATTTCAGCAAACATGCTGTGTGTGTTATATATAATATATGGGAACTCATCGAATATGTATCCACAATAAAACACACATACGAACTGTCTTGAACAGTTATACTGCACATATAACTTATCGAATCCCATATTATATTATATTATCCGCAATTTATATACAATTTTTTTTTTTACTCGACGTCCAAGATGATATTATACCGCGTTCGAATTTGAAATTCAAATTCGAAATTTACCATCTCGAATTTCCATTTGAAACGTACCTACGATTTTCGTTTCTTTTTACAATATATATATAGAAATGTTGCCGTGTCACCGTTGATGCCGGAGTACCGTTTATTTTAGAATTTTGCGGGTAGAAAGCCGACAGAATTTTGGCCGATATTCCGAGCGTAAGTAACAGTATAATATTAAAAGTAATCGAGAAGAAATACGACACGATAGTTCGAAAAGACTGCGTCCGACCGGTCAAATTAAAACATATATTGTTTTCTACTCGTTCCATAATATGTTTATACGAGTGAACTCGTATAATTTTATTGTCGTCCTACATTACGCTTATCACAGACAAGAGGTGTTCCACTTACGGTACATACTTGCGCGTCTCTACAATATTCTATTACGATTATACGATATATGTGCGGGGGCAAGGCGACAGCTGGGCGAGAGGGAGGGTATAATAGGGGGAATGATTATTTTTTCATTAGATCTCAACCAAAGTTTGGTGTATATCCGTCGCCCCGCCGAATGCCTTACGTCCTAAGGCGCACGTGGCCGCACAGCCCAAAAACAACACCGCACATCGACGAGGGAAATAAGTTATAATTAAATAAAAGGAATTTTGACAGCAGTCATATATTCGCGCACATGCACACTCGTATGGCGTAAAAGACATCGTTCGACGAGGCAACGAAAACAATGACACGCATACACTGTATATATCTACCGGTTGATAGAAATTGATTAATAACTTTGGCGAAACGCGTACCTATATAGACTCCTCTGCGCTACTCCTCCCCACCCCCGCCGCGATGTCAACGCCCGTCGTAATAAGGCCCCGGCGTTCTTCCTAATGGCTTTTCCTGGTCTCGGTAAAGATGGCGGCGATGGAAAATTATTATTTTCCCCGAAAAGGTTTTCTCTCGCCGCCGTCGGACGTGTCAATTATTATTATATACACACTAGAACACTACACTTCTTATATACCTGAATCTATACTACTCCCACACATAATATTTTAGACGTTATGTGTTATACAGGACCAGGACTGTTTTTTAGCCTAGTGTCTTGACTGAAACCAAAAAAACAGTATAAAAACTTCATGTAGGTATATTCAATTAAATTGTAATATAACTCGTGATTGTTCTATAATTATCCCTTATTTAGTTATATGACAATAATGTGAACTTAAATATTTCATAATTCCTATTTGATTTTCTTTTCTTCAAGAATAAATCGTTTATCAACAATAAAAACCTAATTATTATTGGTAAAAAAACCCATGGTAATAATTTATTAATTTGGACACTACGCTAAATACAATAGTTATGGCTAATGGTTGGCAACATATTAGCTCGACCTCGGGAATAAATCAATAATAGCAGCTACACCTATTTTAATGGTAGAAAAATAGTTTGGTTATTTAGAGAGCATTGTAGCAAGGACTATAATATCGTTAATACAATTTTTTACTGGAGGATGAATATATATATATATGGGTGAATAATATACGTTATCAATATGTGTACTGTATTTTTATTTTTAAGATCTGAGCACCTTAGTGTGTGTGTTTTTCTATCCGTTTCGACGATCAATCGAGATGTATTCGCATCGTAGGGTTTTATTTTTTGAAGAGATTTGCACATTTTCTATATCTTTTTTTCGCAATTATAACACGCAAAAAGATAAGGAAGAAACGGGGGAAAAATGTAAAACCGTTCAGAGATAAAAAAAAAAAAATAACGACGATCGCGTGCCACCGACGCGACGCGTGAACCACCTATACTATACTATACCTACACCTATAACGAAATAATGAAAAAAACTCGATAAAAACAGGCAGCCGGTGTTCGGTTACAAAAAACAAGTCATAGTTTTTTCGGTGTATATACCTAAAATGTGTGTTTATTACGCACAATAATAATAGTACCGTTTTTTTTTCCCGCTCGTATTGCGCTTTTGCCTATCCATCCAAATTGTCTCGGATACGACATTATTGTGTATATTGTGTTACAATTTCGTATTATAATACATATATGTATTGTATACTATTATTATTATTAGATCGCGTACTTACAGCCGTCGCTGACCTCGTGTAATGTCACGTATATCCTCGGCCGCCACGCGTTTGTCGTTATTTTCCAGTTTCGTTTTTCCGCGCGTCGTCGTCGGTCGCTCGCACATTATCTCATTATACAATATATTGTACATTTATAATGCAAACGGTGACTGAACAATTTGTAAACAATACGATCGAAAAACCGTACGACGACAAGTCACCGTAATATTAAATATTATTATACGCATATATTATAATGTAGCTATTATTATTATTATTATTATATTATTATGTACCTACCTATAACACGACGCCGGCACAACGCACACTGACGACGATGAAACTTTTGTGTGTCTCGAGGGAGACAATATTATTATTATATATACCACGCGCGAACTTTTAACGTCCTTTTGTTTTTCGCGCCAATACTCGCGCAACTGCGACCACCGACCGACTATGACTCGCTAGCAAACGTTTTCCAGTTGTCGTATTCGGTTTAGATTTTCCCCGAAATCACATCGCCCCTCCACGCAGAAATCACCAAATGCTTTTTTTTTTCTATAAAAAAAAAAATTATTATTTTTTGTTTATTTCGTTCCGATTGCGTTTCTGTTAATCGGTTCACGTTACTCGCGATAAATATTTTCACACACTTATTATTATTATTTATATAAAACCATGAGTTCGCGTTTATCATTTTCAAAATAAACGTGATCATACCGGTCGGTATATAGCAGCAATATACCATTAGGTTACCATAGGGAGTTTTTTTTATTTCTGTTTGTGTAAGTTCGACATTCGAGTAATATTATAATAATATATTATATTAATCCTTTAATTTCATTTCGTCTTGTATTTCTAGGTAATGTTTTATTTTTTAAACGTATTGTTTTTAAATTACACGTTTACTCACATCTATACACTCTTAGGCATATTTAGTACACGATTTTTTAATGTTGCAGTGCACATAGTGCCTCCATAATATTTGCATAACAACTCTTCTATAATTTACAAGTAGGCATTCGGAAATCCATTATGATTGTTTCTTTAATTTTAAACTTATTTTTCCAATGTGACTAGTTTCATTTAAATAATATTCAAATATCAATTCTATAGAAAATGATTTATAATAAATTTTCATAAAAAAATAAAAAATATGTTTCTTAAGAAGCAATGAATGTTTCAATATTTGAACAGTTTTATTTACTTTTTCAGGTTTCGCACAGACATTCTGGTAGCTCTTCGAGCTCAGGCGTTAGCAGTACCGGACCATCGGGAAATTGTTCAGCAAATGTAACAAGTGGCAGTGATCCATTAGCTGCACTACAAAGTCAGCAATTCGCACAGGTATAATTAAAATATATTATCTAACTTACAATATCCATATCTAATATGGTTTTAATATTTTATAGATTCCTGGATTGGGAGTGTTATCGCCGCAAAGCAATCCATTGATCGGAAGTCCTCCAGGTGGACAATCTTCTCTAACGCCTCAAGAACTTCAAGCACTTTTCCAGCAACAGATTCAATATTTATTAATGAGACAGTCTACAGCAACTCATCAGAACCAGACTCCATTTTTTTTTCAAAATCAAGTAAATTAAATGGAATATTATTTTTTATTTATTTGTAATTGTTAACTGATTATTAATAATAAAAACATGTAATATTTAGGTTCACCAAGCATTGACTCAAGCATCACTTCAACTGCAACAGATCCAACAGGCTCAAAATATGACTAACAACCATCAGCATTCTCCAGTTGGAAATGGTCCTAATCAGTCGATACGTCCAGCTGCTTCTTCAACACCATCCCATCATTCTAAACACTCTGCTCAGACCCAATCATCTAATAATGACTTGGATCTATCTGCAGCAGCCGCTCTAAGCCGATTGGCAGAAACCAAAACTAGCACTGATGATACCACCGATCTCGAAGAATTAGAACAGTTTGCTAAACTCTTTAAGCAAAGACGCATCAAATTAGGTAAGGATATTACATTTTGCACTTTTAAATAACATTGAATCAATTTTATTAATTTCCTAAATTCTATATTTAGGTTTTACTCAAGGTGATGTAGGCCTTGCAATGGGAAAACTGTATGGCAATGATTTCTCTCAAACAACAATATCTAGGTTTGAAGCGTTGAATTTGTCTTTTAAAAACATGTGCAAGTTAAAACCACTGTTGCAAAAGTGGCTTGTAGATGCTGATAGTACAATGACCAACCCTAGCGCTATGTGTAATCCTCTGACAACGCCAGAAGCAATCGGAAGACGTCGCAAGAAACGCACGTCCATTGAAACGTCTATAAGATATTCTTTAGAAAAAGCATTTAGAGCAAATCCCAAGCCTACATCTGAAGAAATATCAATACTGGCAGATAACCTATCCATGGAAAAAGAAGTGGTGCGTGTATGGTTCTGCAACCGTAGGCAAAAAGAGAAACGCATTAATCCGCCAACAACAACTATGGCTGGTCAAACCACATCTACCAACACAGATATGTTTACCGCTTCAATGTCAGTACAAAACCAGAGTGACATGTTTCCCATGCTAACTTCTCCAGGACATCCACTGGCACTTGTATCTTCTCCATCCATTGGAGGTCATCATCACCATCACCACCATCAAAGTAACAGTGAGTGACATTGGTCCATCTCATCGTCCCTAAACAATGGATTTGATGAGCTCGGCCAACGTAGATATTTCAGGGCTCCTATTGATGGCAAATTATCACTCTGTTAGTCGCATAACATTTTGTTGACTTTCATACTGAAAATTAGCAACAGATTCCTATTTGAAACAAATAATTCAAAATAAAAATAAAAACAATTAAAAGATCTATCCTCGCAATACTTAATTAAGTAATCAATTATGATTTAATTTATTACAATGTTTATATTATTGTATAATGTATATGTATACCTATATCTGTTTATAAATAGTTTGTACATACAGTTATTATTTTTCAACAAACAAAGTAATAGTGGTTAGTATTTTAATAATTAATCATACTTAGTAACTTATATTTAGATAAGTATTTTTTTTTTCGATCTGTTGTAACAATGTTAGTGAAATATTTCATTTCTTTTCATATTGTAAATAGTAACATTAAATTTGGGGATTAATCAAAATAATGTCATTGTCGGTCTGAAAATCAAACTTTTAAGTTTTTTTTTGTGCTAACAAGCGCTTTTTCTTTTGTTAATTAATTTATATGTAAGTATTTTTTTTTTAATGTGTTTCTCGATTAAACTGTTTTAGTGATAGTTCATACGTGTAAGTGATTATATTATTAATCTGAAAATTGTATTGAACTATAGTATTAAAATATTCAGAGTTATAAGTCTTAGAAAACCACCAATCGATGTCTTGCAGAATACTATGTATGTTAAATTCGTTATCATTCTTCATTGTTACACCGTTGCAGGTGGTGGTTTTTTTGGGATTAAATACACTCTAGTAGTGCGAGACAGTGTCAATGATGTTAAAATTATACAAATACATAACCTGGAGACTTGAAAAAAGTACAACTTTTTTTTTTGTTTTAAGAATTAAAATATAATGAAAACATTCAAGGAGACAATAACAATTTTCATAGTTCATTGTTTGCTGTGTTTTGTTAGTGTGACTTTATAACTTGAACCAGTATATTTAATACATTTTGATTTTTTTAAACCTGTTCGATTCAATAAATTAATTCAAAATCAATAACTATCGGTTTTTGGGTCCATTCACAGCATATGAAACTTTTTTTTTTAATTCACATATCATTAAAATCCACCTTTTTTTATTCATTTCACAAAAGTTCCTAAAGTCTTGCCCGTAAGGCAATTGTGTAGTCATAAATCAATTCTTATCATATTTTAAGTCCTAGTAATTATTTTGAATGATTCCAGTAAGTTTATAAAACCTAAACAATAACCCGGGGTTAATAACATCGCCAGGAATACAAGGAATGCTAATGAACAAAATAATTTTCGTTTGGTTCCAACAAAATGTTGGTAACATTATCAATCCCATACAATGAAAATTAATTCTTTAGGCCGTAGAGAATAATATATACATTAGTGTTATCAGCCTCTCTACATTATTAATTTTGGTTGATAATTTAGGTTTTTATTTTATCTATTATTACAATGAACTATAGAAATTATTTTTTTAATTTTTATTCTATTTTTTTTTTTTCTATGTTCCTACAATTATGTGTTCAGCCTCTTTCTTTGACATAGCCTACAAAGCCAATTCCAACATATCCCATACCCCTCACATAAAATTAAAAATAGTCTTCTATAGTACATTAATATGTTATAATAGAAAGGTTTTTTGTGGATTTAAAGTTGGGCTAGAATGTTTTGACTCCTGGCACTGAACACAGTGACAATGTATAGTGTATGTTTGCTGTCAAGACATTTAACCCTTAAATGTGAACGGATCAAATAACCGGCCATTGACTATGTTTGCTTTTAACAATATTTTTAAGTATGCTTATGTTTTTAATTGTGCTAAAAAGGTTAGAAGCACTATCAACTTCAGTAACAAATTTAACATCAAAAAATTCAATGTATACCGTTCCATTGTTCATATCATTAGAATAGAGAGGTGTGTTAACGTAAATTAATTAATATATAAACGTGTGTATATGAATATATATGTTATACACACAAACACATTATATATAATTTTATAAATATAAGTTAAATTAAATAGTTATTAAGTGTATTTGTGTTTTTTATTATTATTATATTATAAATACTAGGGGCCGTGTTATCGGTTTTGTATACGTCAAAAGTGTCAGGTAACTAAATGTTAAGGAGACACTAATTTTAGTCTTATTAGTATGTGTAAAATATTAAGATAATAAAACAATTAACTGAAAATCCTTGTTCATTTTTTATTTTTGGTTACCTGTCATGTCACCCCTAATTCCAATTTAAATGTGTACTAAAATACAATAGTTTTACTTAACCTATTAGCATTAACTTACATTTTTTTTTGCCCCAAACGTTGTAGATCAATTTCTTTTGTTTTTGTTTTTTTTTTTTTGTATGTACATAATTGTATCTTTAATTTATTATTATTATTATTATTATTATTTTTGTTAAATATTCCTTAATATAATTTTTTTTTGTGAAAACTACATAAATATTACGTACATTAAAGAAATAATGCAATAATAAAGTGTTTTACTAAGTTTTTTAATACAACAAGTTAGTCCGAGTGACTGAGTTTCATATCTTTTATTTAGATTTTCTAACATATATTATTATTAAATATTATAGTAATAGGTAGGTACCTATGTTACGAAAATCATTATATAACTGATTTATTTATTTATTGAAATATAAATGCCAAACAATTTAATACAAATACAAAACTATAGGTAACAGGGTTTGTTAAAGCATCATAGGTATCAAGAATGCGATGAGAGGGAGAGAGTGGTTATGGCTGTACGCCTGTACAGAGTGGTGGGACTTAGCCACTTAGGATAGTGAAAGGAAGCTAGTAGCGGTAAGAGTAAAAGGGATTTTTAAAAATTGGCTTTCAAGAAGATTAGGAGCATCAATAGACACTTTTAAAAAAAAATTTAAAAACTATTAGTCAGCTACAATGTGTCATGAAGTGAAAGAGTTTGAATTTGTAAATTTAAAGGACTTCAAAAATAAATGAATAGTAGTGGTGGCCGGTGGGTAACTAGAATACTAAGAATACAAGAAGCATATTATGATAAAAATATCTACTTTTAAAGCTTTTAAGGAGAAATTGATGTTTTGCAAGAAGTAGGTGGTTAGGTTAGGTTTATAGAAGGGTGCTAAACAACTGTACCATATGCTAAAATAGGTTTGAAATGTGCAAAGTACAAAGCACTCAGACATTTAGCTGATTTAAATTTATTGGTTTTATCATTTTATGTTGAATGATATCAAGGAATTTAAATGCTATATTTGTGGTGATGTTAATGTGGTGTTCAATGAAAAAAGGAATTAGAATTCTACAAATAGTGTATCACAAGACGTTCAACAATAAAAACTTGTTGAAATTGTTAAAAAAGTTGAAATTTATTCAGAAAATCAGAGTAAACTAGGGGTAACCAAGATCTGGAGAAAGAAATGACTTGGCACTTATCAAGTTCAAAGTAATGTCAATGTTGGTGACCCAACGGTATTTATGTTGGGCTCAGTTTTATATACTTCAGAGACTCAGAGTTCATACCTATACAGTTATTTTAGTCAATATTTCATTAATTTTAACGAATTTTACATTTCAACATTTTGTGTCAAAGGATCACACTTTAATGTCGAGATTTGCAAATAGCCATAACCTAATTAATATGATTGGTAAATTCTATTATTAACTAATAAAACCTTAACCTAACTCTATCTTAAGGCTTTATTGGTAATAGGTATTCTACAAAAATAAACGCTAAAAGATAGATAAAACCTTGGCCCCTTAGAGTTCAAAATTCAATTGGAATGTCAAATTTTAATTAAATATGTTAGATATTATACTTAAAATGTAATTTTATGATAAACAAGCAAAAAAAAAAAATTTTCAAGTAGGTAATTATTTTATTTTATTTATTTTCAGTTGACCAAGATAATAAACTGAAGAAACAAAAGAGTTACTTCAATTAGGTCCTTAACAGTTATAAGCTTATTTTAATAAGTCACTAAATAGGTTAGTTATAAACTTAAATAAATAATTTACACTTAATTTGTTAAACAATAATTTATAAAATTAGCTTAAAATCTATTTTTTTTTTTTTGAAAACTGAATACATCTTAAGTATGTTATTTGGAAGAAATATTTACTTTTAGAACCTATTTTAATACAAATGTGTACTCAATCGCGTGAACAAATCAACTACATTTAAGATTACATAATATCAAGTGAGCCACAGTAGATAATAAAATAATCTCTAATATAATAATTCATAAAACAAGCAATAAAACTGTAATCTATAAATTAATTTGTGCAAAAATGTTGAACTGCATATTATAATCGACACTTCATTCAACTGTACAATAAATAGATATAAAACGGAATCATATGTAAAATAAAATACATTTTTAGTATACTTGTTTTGAAATTAAGGCAAGAAATGCTATAAGATCTCAGCAAGTCTTCGCTGAGAAAATAAGAACATTGTTCTGCAATTTTTATAAAAATAATTGTGAATTTGATACATATGGATAATGTATATATAATAATACAATATATAATACAGCATCGACCTAGCCCAAGGTGGCTAGGAGGTGATCACCAACCAGTATAATATTTTAACTTTTGATATGGCCCTTATATTTTAAACACTTATAAATTAAAAAATAAATAATATTTTACAGGTTATAACATTTAGTAAATTCACAGTATCAACATAAAGTGTATAATTGCAGAATAAATGCAATTATTTATTAACATATATATTTCGCTTTTGGTATAAATCGAGAACAATCTTTTTAATCAAATTTGTTTTATAATTCATAGTTTACACATTTACATTAATTTAACATAACACAAGCGTTATCAGAGAGTGCTTTCCAATGTAAAGATTATAAAAAAATTTATGTTCAATCATAAAACAAGAATATTTGGGACCATTAGATACTGATGATGGCTGTAGAAAAAGATAATATATGAATTGATTGACAATGATACCAATTTATCAAATCTATTAAAAAGGATTATTAATATAAACTATTGTACAATTTAACAATCTACTCTTCCTTATTTAGTTTTGTAATTTTGTACACATATGTTTTGTAAATACATATTGTCAACATTTAAACTTTTCCTACTACAGAAAAAGTTGGCAAAAAAACTAAAATTTTTAAAGGAGTATTTTTGAGGGGCTCCTTGAAAATTTAATATTCTCATTACAGATGTTCCTATTCAATACAAATTATATTTAATTTGTGAAGCCTGTTCCAAAAATACTTGTCATCCAATTCCAATTCAAAATATAAATTATTATATACTTTATGATATCTTATTGTTTTTGAATGTTAAAAATAATGAGTTTATTAGTATATGAATAAACATGGTCAATCTAGTTAAACAAATAACTTACTGTGATCAATATTAACTATTCTTATTATTTAACATTAATTTAAATAATTTATCATAAACAATTGTTAACTAGGGGAGATAGTGTCAAGGGTCTGTGCGGTCGGGTAGCTCAGTAGTAGAGCTATCACCCGGGTTTGATTAACAGTACAGAGGCTTGATTTATGACATTATTTTCCGTGGACAAGTGAACACAAGTAACCGTACAATTGAATAACATTATAATAAGATAAAAATAAAAATATTGATATACTTGAAACTTGAAAAAAAAAAATAGAAAAATACAATAAACATAGTACTTTTATACACATGACAGGGTGCTTTACATTGAAGGCATCAAGCGCCAAATATTAATTATTAGGTACAGTTAACAATTAACATTTTAAAACAGATAAATAATTATAAGTTATAATAAATAATTACAAGTCACAAACAAAACTCATGTAACATCTCAAAATGTCATTTTTATTAACAACGCTACACTGTGTGTGATAATACAAGCCATGACATGATAAAGTAAAACAAAAATATTGGATAAACAGCTAGAGCTTTTTTCCCTTGAGGTTGACTATCTCCAAGAAATACAACAGAGGCTAAAATTAAAAATATAATACAAGTTATTTTTTTTAAAAATGTCTATGCTAATTGCTTTATAACTTACCATACGTGGACCACAAAAATGAACCAATTGATATGGCAAATCGAATAAAAAATAAGAAATTTGTTTGCTCAAATATTAAAATAAATCTGCATACTATTAAGGCTATAACTATTGGTAGTAAACAGTAACCTAAAACACATACACTCTGGAAAAATGATCTGGAAAAAAAAAATGAATCGATTATATTATACAAATAATCAAATAATGTTAATTTTAAAGTGTTGGTTCTGTGATATGCTTAAGTAATATTTTATTTTATGTAAATATTAAAGCAATAATAAAGTGTTCAAACTATCAAATTATACTATTTAACAAAAAGTAACATTATGTTTAACTTTAAATGTAACGAGAGTAATAATATTAGTACAATTATTAACTATTCACTACCCACTGGTGATATTACTGATATTTCTTATCACGTTAATTGTCATGCGGCTGCCGACGGTCACACGATTAAACACACGGTCGCAAAAGCATAACATTTCAGATTTACAAATGATTGCCGGCAGCCGCATGGCACTTGACTTATTAACAGTTAAAGAGGAAATCTTATCCGTAAGTTATTTTGGTCCTACTAACACATAACATACCAAAATGTAAGTTAAGCCGTTTCAATTTTGTGCTTAATATAAAAATTAATTGACCTATTATAATTATTTAAAGACAGAGGGGTGCTCAGGAATTTGGGTTGAGTTGGTTTGAGTTTTTTATATTTTTATAAATGATAATAATTATATGTAAGTACATACATTATATTTGTTAAGTGTCCATTGAGAGGAGAGGTTGAACCACTTACCGGAGGTTACATGAGCACGCCCATGTTTAAAGGTAAGATCATAATCTGTGCTTTGTCGTTGCTTTTTTACGATATTTTAATTTTTTAGTAAATAAAGACAATTTTTAAAGATTCATATTTTACATACCTACTCATAAGTCATAACTCACTTAAAAATTAAAATAGCACAAATATCCAAAAAGAGAACCCGAAAAATGTTCATACCTTCGAATTTTATAATAGGTCAATTCACTTTAATATTTAAGCTAAGTTGCTAACCACATAAAATTGTAATTGCTGTACATACATTTTGGTAGGTATATTATGAGTAAGTAAGAATGAGACATGCGGTTACAACTTTCTCATAATTATAAAGTCATATTGAGTGTTTTCCTTTTTTATTTTTTATAATGTTCAACAAACAGGGAGCTTACTCAGGGAGCCATTCTAGGCCTTAATCCTGGCTTGACAGTAACAATACAATTCAATAAATATTTTTACAACCTGATTTATAAAAAAAAGTTGATGGCACAAAATATGAATAAGTACATACAATAATAAAATTAATAAAACTTACATTGTGCCGCCAAGTAATTTTGAATTTAATGTAATAATCACAGACCCTATCCAAATAATAACAAAAACCTCAGCAAATTCAGGACCTCCATCACCAATTTGTATAGAATCTGGCGATGCTTGTAAAACCCTTAAAAAAATAATAATTATTATAATTCAATGATAGTAAAAACTAATAAACTTACATGGCCATAAATGTGCAAAGCATCAATGGGCCCCACAAGTCCCCTAAAAATATAATTTAAACTTTAAATTATGAGATAATGAAAAATTTAAACCATTATTCAAGACTTACATTCTTTAAGAAGTGTATTTTTTTCTTTCAAATACAAGACATGCTTAAATTTCATTCCAACAGCTTTTAAGTCTCTCATCTAAAGTTAGTAAAAATGCTTATCATTATACACAAATACTAACTATATGTAATAAATATCATAATATTACAATAGTTGTTTTAATAGGTTCATCTAATGTGTTGAATCCAGGGTCACCAATATTTTGCATTAATGATCCAGACACAGTCATCCGTCCTTCTACATTATTCATTGGTCGGTCATCGATATACTAAAATAAAAAATAAATACAATAGATTAAAGGGAGAATAGTTAAAAAAATAAAAATAAATAATAATTTCAGTCACAAACTAATATCTAATTTTTATAAGCAATAATGTCTTAGACGCTAACAGGGATTTTATTTACATTATTAAATTGCTAACACATGCTAATATTATTTATTTAATAATTGTTAAAAACTTTGAAATAATAATAATTATTATTTTGCTAGGTATACCATACCTATACATACCTACTTGGTTATAAAGAACATTTTATTAAATTATAGGTTGGTAATAGCCAATAGTTATATTAAATAAACAATTAAAATACATTATACAGAGAAATAAAGAAAACTTGGTGACTTTTTTTTATTGTTTTATTATATTTGTACGATTTACCTTGAGTATATTATGTCAGAAGGTATACTGTTATGAAATTATGCAGAGTTCCTAGTGAGGCTGAGCATAACCTAATAGTAATATAACTTATAAGTAAATTTATACTTTTATAGTTAGAGTTGTTAAATACAATTATTTGTTTAATATTTCACTAATTAATTCCATCAATTACTCAATTAACAAAGATGAAAATAACTTTATTTTTTTAAAACTACATAATTGTGGAAATGGTATAATCTGTCATGACGTAATATGTAAAAATATATTTAGAGTTTCTAGTATTCGATATTTAGATTTGACTATAGATAACAATTTAAGATGGAACCTACATGTTAATAACAATTGCGCACAGTAACCTATCGTTTTTATAAATTAAGAGCCCTTTTGAAAATTGTGTTCTTTAACTCCAGCAATTTAGAAAAATATAATTTAAGTAAAATTGTTTTAAATTGGTTAATAGATTTTCTAGAATAGCTTGTTTGTTTTATTTTTTAGTTGTATAGTTTTGTAAATGAAATTCATGTATCATAATTTCAATTCAACGATGTATAATATAAATTTAGTTTATGTATAATAATGTATATAATATAATTAATGTATAAATATTCTATATGTATTATCGAATAGTTTTTTCATATAGCAACTCTCTACCAACAACACAAGCCTAGCTTAAAGTTGTTAGATAGTATTTATTGTAAATTTTTCAATTATTTATAATAAATATTTATTTAATAAAAAAAAAAACATATTGATTGAAATCGTTATTTTATGTTTTGGAAATAGGAAATTTTTTTTCAGAACACAATTGCACACACTTTGCACAATATGTTGCTTGCTAGAACTAAAATTTGTACTAGGAATATTTTTAATTTATATTAAATTGAACAATCCATAAAGTATTTACTTACAACTGCAGTATGACCACCATTCGGATTATTGAAGTTATTTTGTCCGGTATTAGTATTTAAAAACTAAATATAAAAAAAAAACATAAATTATACAATTTGGTATGTTTAAATAACAATTTATTAGTTGAAGTTATTTAAGAACTTAAAATAATACAAAAGTTAGATTTAGTAATCTAGACATAATTCTCAAATACTAAAATACCTAGGTACATATTAAAATTGTAGAAATATCATATATCAACATAATATCTAATAAAATGAGCTAAGCAATGTCTATCTAAAAAATTAAAAATTCTAAGACTTACATAATAATACAACATACCAAAGAGGAATAAAAGTATTCTGAGTTCCATACTATTAAAAAGTACCAAGACTTTCTGAGGTTATCATAATAGCGATTAAGGCTATTTTTAAATTTTATGTTTTTCTAAGTAGTAAGTACCTAGCTAGTAGCCAAATTTTGAAACTTATTATATAAGATAGGAAATTAAATAAAATGTAAAAAATTGAACTTGAAATGTTGAATGTATTAAGAAAATTAAGAGAATGTGATACCCACATATGTTGTTTCCGTCTTACAAGTGCGTAACATAACAAATTTTACACTTAGCAGAACATGTGTAGATCTGTTAGTTTAAAAATTAGAGTGAATCGACCTCTTTTAAAATTTAAAGGGAAGATTATTATCTATGCAACATCATGATAATGAGCTTTTTATTATATTTTAATTTTAAAGCGAGTTATGGGTGTTTTAAAGTTGTAAATTATTTATACGTCTTAAATATACTTATAACTCATTTAAAAACTAAAATATAATAAAAAACCCATAATTTTGCCTAGATAATAATCTTACCTTTAGATTTTATAAGAGGTCAATTTACTTTAATTTTTAAACTTACGGAGCTACACGTGTTCTGCTGAGAGTAAATTTGCTATGTTATGCGCTTGTAAGACGGAGATCACACATCCTCTTCATAGAAATTGGGCATTTGATTTTTACATTTACACTTCAAAAAAGTTAGACAGGCACATTTATAACTTAGAAAACAGATTCTACAAAACTACTTCAACTAAAAATTATTATACAGAATCCAATTACCAACCAAATGTGCCAAAATACAGGATAATACTAAAAATGGTATAAATCTTAGACTGATTATTCCACAAATTAACCATTGTTTCTTTTTATATTTAATATACCTTCCTATAACTAATACAATTAGGTATTAAAATTTAAAAAATAAATCAACACCACTAAAAAAAAAACATAAATTAATAATGAAATTGTATTTCAATGAATTTAAAGTAAACAAGCGTATCAAAAAAACTTATGTCCAGTTTAGTCTAACTATACATAAAAAAACTTACATCCATTGTTGTTATTTATTTATGTGTGGAATAACTAAAGAATAATGAGTACAAATAATGTAGAAGTTATCATTCGATTCTAGGGAAATTTTTTGTAATAAATGAATTTGAGCTAATAAACATTTTATACGTGGCCACTTACACTAATAACGATTTATTTGACAAATTAATAAAATCAAAATTTCAAACTAACAATGAAATATCAAAATATTAAATAATAGGAAACTGAAAATCCAGACGTGTCATGATAACTGATAACATAGTACCATCGAGATAGATAAGAATCACGGCTTTAGATAGTACTATCTAAAGCCATGATAAGAATACTTATTCTTATCATTTATCTAACATGATTGGAGAATGATTAAAACCACGGACTAAGATATACAGGACTGGACACGACAAGGTTGGAGGGTGTGGGGGGGTTGACTACGAAATGTTTTACAACAGGCAGTGTTCGGGGGGATATTTTCCTTTTAGCATTACTAGCGCCGTCCTAGTGGATACTTATGGAACTAGAACACATCATACAAATTTCTAGTTCCATAAGTATCCACTAAGACGGCGCTAGTAATGCTAAAAGGAAAATATCCCCCCGAACTCCGCCTGTTGTAAAACATTTCGTAACCACAATATTCATCTCGTGTCCAGTCCTGTATATCTTAGTCCGTGATTAAAACCATGAACTAAGATAATATCTATTATCTTAGTTCATGATTAAAACACAGATTTCTATTTAGTACTAGATAGCGAACTCCCGCCATGAATTGAAGCTTCAAGGTCGGTTGGCAATTGTATGGTATTTCATATGAAAAATAAGATGATATTATGATTTATTTTATATCGTATTTTATTATTTCTAAACATTTAGGTTACAAAATATAAAAAATTTTTTATATAAGTCATTTTACATTTACTATTTTATTTGACCGTTAAAAAAAATATTATTCCTAATACATTTTGTATAATAAATGAAATGTTTTGCCAACCGACAAAATGGCGGCCGTTCACAGCTGAGCTTTACTTGTAACAATGTAAATTGTATAAGAGTTCCTTATCTAGTGTAGTATAGAAGTCTGTGGATTAAAAATATAATGGTTGCCCGACGAGCATGGTCGTCCTCTACAATTTTGCAGCGCTCGTAGACCGCAGTGGAATTTTTATGTACTATTGTACTGTATTATAATGCTATCCCAAATTAGGTGGGATGTGGGAGTATAGTTTTCATACTTTTGTGTAATATTTTAAGGGGGCTCATGTGATTGTTTTTTTGATCAAAAACATGCCTTACAGAAAAAACTTTAACTCCTTGTAGGGTGATCCGATTTCAATATTTATTTTTTTATTGAAAGAGAAACACTTCTTATAGGGAGCATTAGACTTGGAATTTCAAATTCTATTTCTAAACCATATCATACGATTTTTAATATGACCAATTTACACAAGATTTAGTTATTTTTATTATGTTTGTTTTAAAGCAACGAAATTAAAAATCTAAGTCCAATGCGCCCTGTAGAAAATTATCCCCTTTCTAAAGGAAAAAAAATTAATCAAATCAGACCACTCTACAATGTGTGAAAGTTTTTCCCGTAAAGCGAGTTTTGAATAAAAAATGCACTCATTTTATATTTGGTTGTCGGTGGCCGGTGCACACATGCAGTGCGTTCGAAGACAGCCCGGTACACGCATACAATCACACTCACACTAGTCACACTAATCATTATTGACGACTAACACAAAATATGCCATGGGCGGTGGTAGCAAAATTGCATATTGCCTAAATATTGCGCCTCATTAAAGACACACGATCAGGCCCCTTAATATATTATAACATTATTTTCACGGATAGAGAGCGCACTCAATTAGTTAAGCACTTGATTCTGCAGGTGATCCTTATAAAATTATCTACCTTTATCAAAAAAAAATGTCTATAAGAAAGTCAAATTAAATTTTTATGAGCGTTTGAACTTTGAAGTTCAAATTTTTACAACATTGGATATTCACTCGATTTCTCATGTGGTGATTTTCTTATTTTGTTGTAATTTAAAAATTAATAGCTGTACCTATAATATTTATGAAAATTTCACTGAATATTTATATTAGCATTTCCTATACACCATACAAATTTGAAAATATTTTGACTCTTTTTGGGCTGTTTACGGATATGGACAGTTTTCAATTTTTTTAGTTTTTTTTTTCTATAAATATCAATAAAGTTTTATCTGTTGGGCCAAAAAGTGTAAAAATTTGATACAAAGCTCCTGATATATTGTTACAATATCAGTTGAAAAATATTAAGAATACATGGGCACAATTTTTTTTTATAAGTATTTAAAGATCGAATTTTTTTTTCTATTTATATAATATTACAATTTTAGATATAGATGTTCCTTAAATTTTTCTGAAAACCAATATGTTGAGAAATCTTTGGAACGAAAACTTTTAAATCACTCTCCTAAACGTAGACGTTTGAAACCTGCAGATGCAATACTTATGAGGTATTGAGGTAGGTTTGTTACAATTTATAAATAGTCATAATTATTAAAAACTAATGAAATATTTTAGTTCATATGGTTTTGAGCATGATAAAAGAAAGTGGTATGATGACATTTATATGTGATACGCAGTCGTGTGACGTACCTATGCATCGCCATTAACATTAATATTTATCAGATACTATCTGAATTACCGGAGTTGCTCGGAACAATTGTGATTGTTCAACTCTTTTTGGGTGTAACCACGGTTTAAGATACTATAATGGTTGCTAACTTGGATGCTTAATTTTGGTCTGATATGTCTGAATCTAGTAAACAAGGGTACTTATATACAATAGGTACAGTGTACACATTGTATTTTCAAATAATCAAATGGTTCATTTGCTGTTTCAAATTCTTCTAGCCAACTCATTGTCATGAGTGTCTAAAGAAAATGAGTCAGGTGACAATTCTTTTATCATGATTAGTGTGATGTCAAACTGTCCACGTTTCGTTATGCTTACACAGAAATAGTCAATGTATTCATACATAATTCATTATACTTTTATAAATTTATCCATATTTGCATTATTACAATATTCTACACTCTACTTACAACATTTTAAAGCTACAATTCATTGTTTTGTAAATTTAAATCTAAAACTAAATAATAAATTAATTTACAAAACAAATAGCCAATACTCCAATAGGTACCTAGGTAAAATATTAAATTCGTAGGAAAATTAAATCTATTTAGGTACCTGGAGTGTTTACTTTTATTTTTAATGACATAAAATCAAATTAAATCAAATGCTTAATAGCTCGAACATATAGTAAGGAAAACAAATCAAATGAAACCAGTTTTTCACAAATGGGTCATCCAATTGAAATCAATACATTCATAATTTGAACATAAATACTTTCCAATAATTCAATACCTACAATTTTGTTATTTTACGAAACGAATATTATATAATTCTACAATTTTCTAGCAACTTAATTTTCAGATCTCGATAAATTAATAATGCAGTTACCGTAGGTATATTCATAGGCGCTATTTCAATTTTTGACTTGGTAGGGCTTTACATATTTAAATGAAACAGACCCCGTGGGTGGCTCTGACCCAGTAGCGTAGCTAGATGGGAAAGGGCCCCCGGGTAGTAAATAAACTAACCCTCCCCCTTAATAAATTTTATCTTTATGAAAATTCAAAATATACACATAATATTTTGTGACCCCAGGGCACTGCAAAATGTTCACCTATTATAGCTACGTCTCTGCTTCCCCCACCCCCACACACACTCCTAGTCTATTCAAATACCTTTAAAATGTATTACCCATTTTATGTAATAATAAATAATATATCATTTTTTCCTTACTCACTTTCTTACATTTAGTATATTATAACTAGCTGATTCCTCGCACTTGAAAATTGTGATTATTCAACTCTTTTTGGGTGCAACTTAGCCTCCTTAAGTGGTAATTCGACTATGTCGGATCACGGACAATGTGTGGTAGCATATCAAGTAGGCAATGTACGAAATATGATTGTATGCATGTTTTTACCTGATCTGCTCGATTATTAACAATTGGTAATCAAATAATAAATACTTATTTCTACTAATTATTTATCCTATAACCAATAGCAAAAATTTATAAACTAACATTTCCACCCTAAATTTCAAATTCCCATTTGAACATCTTCCCGGATGGGAGTATAAGGGAGAACAATACTTTACGACCTATTCTCATAGCTAATAAGTATACAAAAAAAATGCATTAAAGCCGTTTTGGAGGAGTGCCACCACAAACACTGTGACACGAGATTTTTATGTTAGATTAAACATCAAACTATTGCTAAAATGAAAAATATTTTTACTAAAATAAATTATTGCATTTAGGGCGCCTACCGTCTTATACAGTTGCGGATCTAAAATTTTTTTTTTTTTTTGGAGGGGGTATTGTCTTTTTTCAAGTTCTACAACACAAATATTTAAAAACTGCCCAATTTATTAACCTAGATGTTAGGCCAATGGGAAAGACCCAGGCTGATCTATCCTCCCATTAAATGCACCACTGTTCTTAAATATATGTTATAATTGTAAACGTCGTTTGAAATTGCAAATGTATAAAAAAAAAATACAATACTATCCAGTATACCTATTAACTATATTCCAGATAAATCTAAATGTTATTAGTAATGTGTAGTGATTAATAATTACTAATTTGTAATACTATTATTAAACCTATATTACTATCTTCTATGGATGGATCTAATAATTGATATCTATATACTATGGAAAACAAGTGATAATTCTTGGTTTAAACTTTATATAAAATAATTTTTTCAAACAACGTTTACTGTATTAGGTATAGTAGAATGTAGATTAGATAATTAATGAACGATTCAAAATTACGATGAAAATACAAGTTTTCGGAGAGGATAATAAATAATTTTTCGCACGATCAAAATACTTGACATTGTGATAACAGATTCCTTATCAGTCTGTTGTTTAAAGTGTACCTAATTAA